CCCCAAAACCCCAAAACCCCAAAACCCCTTAGTTCCATTTTAAGGTTGAAATTTTTATGGTCGATTTATTTCTGCTTCAGTCATCGGTCGAATATCTTAATCTCAAATAATTATGAATTCTTCGTTATCTCTTATCATTCCAATCTCTTCTGAAAATAGAGCTAGATACACAAAATATGTCCCTTTAATAGATGAGGTCTTCATAGGGATAGATATCTTTGCCTGTCCCCCATTAGGCTCAATTTTAACATCAAGCTGGCAGTCCTCAATTTCTATAAGAAAATCATTATCAACAACCACAGCAGAACTAATTTCAATCGTTTCTGTCCATTTATTGACAACATTAAAACTCAGCAAGCCAATTTTCCCGCATTCTCTTGTCAAGTCTTGCTCATATTTAACAATTTCAATCTTCGGTACCATCTCCTCCTCTTCACCTATAATACACCATAAATCAGAATCACTGAGTCAAATCTAATTTCAAATTTCCCCCTATCCAAGCGCAGCCTGGCTGATCCCAATTACTAATCTTTCCTTAACAAATTTACTCATGAAATAACTGGAACAATGAAATATGTCAATTCATAAGAATTAAGCGATAATGAGGGATTAGATTGTCATAATGACCAAGCTTCTTGAGAGATATAGGGATGACAAGTTTTCAGTAAATGAATGAGTCAGTCATTTTACCTCTGCAGCGAGATCTAGATGGGGAGTCAGGCAACAGGAAGTGAAGAGTCGGATTTATGTTGATCCAGGCCTCTTATAAAACTCTTTTAGCTTAGTAAAATTTATTGCTAGGGATGATACCAATTATATTATGGAAACAGCGCTAATCTAGCAATAAAATTGTCTGATGCGAAAGAGGTTTATAAAGAGTCTGAATCAACTTAAATCAGACCCTTCACTTCTTATTGCCTGGCTCCCCATCTCCATCTCTTTGTTGTGGTAAGATGGATTACTCATCCATGTACTAAAACCTTGTTATCCCCTATATCTCTGCACAAACTTGGTCGTTATGGTAATTCTAATTAACCAACATATTTCATTCCTCCAGTCATTTACATGTAATGAACTTACTTTCTCTTTCATTCTGAGGTTCCGGGAGATCTTGACTGCAAGGGCTTTCTGGAATTTGAGATTGCGACTGAGAGGAATTTTGGATGTGCTGCAGGAGGAAATTGAACAAGTCTGAGCGTGGAGCGGATGGAGTTTGAAGGAGGTAATGGGATATATCGCACTGGAGTTGGAGGAGGGATTGCAGAAGAGGGTTAGGAGGCAGGCTGGGGTTGGGAAGGGGAGAGGGGGCAGAAGGGTTGAGAGAGGAGAGTGTGGTGGGAGGGTGACTGAGAAGGGGATTTGGGGTAGGGGTAATGAGGGGGTCTAGGGAGGTTGAAGGGGTTTTGAGGTGATTTTGGGAGGTTTTGAGCTGGAGGATGGAATTTTTTCTTTTGGGGTTTTGTTCATCTGTAGGTGTTGTTTGAAGTTTTAAAAGAGATTCTTCTGGCTCTTTATCGTTGCTGTCTTTAATTCTTCTTTTTAGTAAAGTTTTAGATTCTTCAAGTCCATCTTTTTCTTCCTCAGAAATATTAATTTCAGTAGTATCTTCGCATAAAGCATCTAGTGTAACCTCTTTCTCCACAAAAATTTTAATGACTCTATCAGGAAAAGCTTGAGCTTCAAAAATAAGAGCTGCCAGATCAGATTCTTCTAACAAATATTTAATACAGTTGCTTCCGTATAAGTAGTTTACATATGATAGCTTATAAATAGTTCCTTCAAGTTCTTTAAAACTATTTTCTGCAGCAAATCTCAGATTCAGCAATGAGGTATATTCCTGAGAAATTAGTCTCTTTACTATATCTCCAAACTGAACTTTCAGCGATACCTTCTGTATACTTTCCATTCAAATTAATATCTTTATAAATTGCTTCAAACCACGATAGATAAATAGGGGTTTTGGGGTTTTGGGGTTTTGGGG